GTCCCTCCCGCTCGCCACAGCGAGGCTCCGCCCCTAGCCCAGGACTCGGCTCGGGCTGACCCCCAGCCCGGCCTTGCTTTGCACCTCTCTTCGGTAGTGGCTGTTCGCAGCTCTGCAGGAACGGGGTTTGCAGCTTCCTTCACCACAGTGCTTGTTCGGGCACAGGCAGAGGTGCCGTGCATCCCTTCATCCAGCCGGCCCAGCGGGACCTGGGCTGGGAAGGACGAGGACCCGAGCGAGGGGACGGAGTGGAATCGGAGAGCCGGCGCTGAGGGGGCCTGGAGACGCCGAGGGCTCCGTCACCGTGGGCTGCTCTTACTCTGGCGGGAGGGCAGCTTTGGAAGGCCGGGGCTGGGAATTCCGAAGGCGGATTCCAGGTCCTGAGAAATTTCTCACCTTGAGGCCGCTGGTAAATTGCTGAACCTTTCTGAACTTTGGGGATCTGTGTACAGAATGCACGGGTTAGTGGGGCGAGCTGTCCTTCCACCACGCTGGGCGCTCAGGTCCTGCTCCGGTCAGTATTACACCTGTGTTCACACCACGCCCGGTAAGTGAGTCATTGCTCGACATGAAGGAGTTGGAGACATTCTTCCTTGGGCAAAAAGTGTTGGGTTTTGAGTAGAAGAGCTGCCACCCAGTCAGTCCCCTCCCTTCCTCCTGCTGCCTAGGTAGGCCGCCTTGCACCTTGACCTGGGTGTTCCCGCAGGGAGCCCGTTGGAGATCACCTTCCAGGGCCCCAGCCTGGATGAAACGGAAGAGGGAAGCACCCCACACACCTGTGTCCACAGAGAGGCGGTTCATTGCAAGTCCAGTCAGGGTGTGCTGTCAGGATGAGCCCCCAACGCAGAACAGCCAGGGCTGTAGAACCTCTGGATTCCTGTGCTCTCCTCTTATGAGGCTGCAACAAAGCAAAACTGAGGGCCAGGAAATAGGTGGGGAGGAGGAAAGGAAGAGACATGTTTTTGCCAAGATTGGAGTAAAAAATGGAAAATAATAAACAGGGAAATGTGGAATTCTTCCCCATCTTCAATGTCACGGACTTCTCCCAAGACTATGGATAGAACAGAAAGCGGTGGGGGGAGGGGGAGACGGACACAGCTGTGGCACAGAGCCCTCTCTGTCAGCATGAGAACCAAGTTGCCCCAGCATCGCCCCAGCAGCTGAGTATTCAGATTTGATTGCAGTATTGGCACTTTGTGGTTAAAAAAAAAAAAAAAGTGGGTTTTTGAGTTACAGTTTGGACACTCGGTCTCTAAAAGGTTCGCTGTCACTGATACAGGAGGTGTAGAAGAATAGGAGAGGAACTAACATTTTTAAAGTCCCTGCTTTGTGCCAAGCAACTCCACGAAGTGATCATCATAGCTCCATTTTATGGAGAAGAAAACTGAGATTCAGAGGGCCGCCTTATTTACCAGGGTCTCGGCTGAAAAGGAGTACTATTGAATTGGAACCAAGAGCATGGTAGGCAAATTCCCTTCTACGATGTTGCTGTCTTCAAGTGCTGATGATCAGTCCAACCCTATTTCTCCTCCCCACAGGAGAGGAAATCATTTAAACAAATATGTAAAGAGAACTCCACTTAGGGTCCCTCAGCATCCAAGTGAGCTGTAGGCTATGGTCCACTAATCTATCAAGACTTACCAGTGTATCCATAAGCAGGTAGATACAAAGCAGCCTGCACTAGAGCAGCTCAAAAGTGTCCTGGGAGGCATATGCAGTTGAGATACATTGGGCTTTTGAGAAGCCTTTTCCAAGGCTTTTGAGAAGTTTGTGGTTCCCAAGATTCAAGCTGGATATTTCAGCTCTTCCTGTGACCTGCTGTAGAGTGATACTCACCTCAATGGATTAATGAAGGCCATACCAAACACACGAGTCGGTTCTACACTTTACTTCCTCCTCCACTTAATGTGTCTTTAACAAACGTACACACTAAGAAGCTGTTAAAGGAAGCGAAGGCTGTAGTGTAATAAGACTGCTTATTCTATGGCATACAGACTGCCATTAAAGAGTTGATTCAGTGTTTTTGCAAAATAAACAGTTCTCAGGGGCTGTGCTCCCTCAAAGTAAATGCATTGCAATGCAATATGCCAATATGCAATGTACATCTTTTGTGCCAGCTACATGGCCATAAAGATGGCTTTCATCTTGCCTAATCAAAAGAATCAAAAAATATTTTGAAGAAGTTGCTTAGGTGCACATCCTCTTTTGTAGTTCTCTGCCAGTGACTGCGAAGTGTGTCATATCCTCAGCCAGCTGCTGTCAGCTCATCCATGTGACCAACAATTCTGGCTGAACTTCCAAAGTGCACCTGAGAGGCAGTGCAACGGGTGTATACACAATATTCTGCTTCTAGTTACTTATCGGTCTGTTTTCATGGCATTTGTAACTGCTAGCCTTGAACTCCCTGATATAGACCAGATCTTTAAGAGAGCAATTCTCTTCAGTGGTTTAGTCCACAGGCATCATCCTGTTCAAGACAGCAGTTAAAATTTAGGAAACTAAGACAAGCTGTTAGGATAAGTAGTGCTTAGAGAGGGTAAGGTTAAGGTAGCTTGGAATGAGGACTATGAAAAGGCAGAATTAGGAAATACACATTATTAAATCATCTTTCAAAAATGCAAGCTGTGGTATTTGAGGCAGACAGCATAAAGATGGGGTCAGAGAAAACCCACACATTATATTTCCCCAGCTGGAATATGAATCTCAAATAATAGAGAGGTTTCTCTCACCTTAAAGTGAGAACGGCATTCAAAATAGAAAATGAATATTTATTGAGTGGCTTCTACTTATGAAGCACCAGATAAGGTTCTGCAGGAAATCAAAGAGATGAGTAAGAGACAACATGCAGCTCTGTGAGAGGAAAATGCACCAGGGACAATGCAGGAAAAGACAGAAACACAAGTCATTCCCTGGAGCCAGGGAGCTTTGCCGAAGGAGAGTGATTGCTATTTGTAGACAGTGGGGCCTTTCCAGGATGAAAGCATCGTATCTGTGACGGAATGGATGTAGGAGAAGCAGGAGACCTTTTCAGAGATTTCCCATTGTAGCCTGGCTTGTTCTGGAAGCGAGGCTGGGAACACTGTGCTGGCAGGGCTTGGTTTCCAGGTGAGCCATGGAGAAAGCACTGACATTTTGGAGCAGTCAGAGGGTACCATCCAAGTTGGGCTTTTTAATCTAGATCTTGTATCCTGGATGGGTTAGAAAGGTAAGAAGAGATTAGGGACAGGAGATGCTTTAGACCAGAGGTGGTGAAGCCATAGTACATGCGCTGCAGCAAGCTGTTTGTGTCATTGAAAGCTCTAAAAGGTTCGCCATCCCTGCTTTAGACTTTCTGTGTCTGGTCCATATGGGAAGCAGAGATTTTGATAAGAGAAATGGCCAGAGGAATAGAAAGGATGGGAGGTGTATGGACGGTTTTGAGAAACATAAAAAGGTAGACGTGGAGGCCGAAATCTACAGTGATTCACATGGCAAAATAACGTATTCCCTAGCAAAGGGTACTTACTCCGTGTCAAATGATTTCTTTACTCTAAGTTCTAAGTGATTTCTGTGGCTTCCCCAGTTAAATCTCACAGAAACACTGGGGTGGAGCCTGTTACAGAAGGAGAGAAGGGAATCAAACAGATCTTAACCCCTAGAGATTGCTGGAATGATGGAGTCACAACTCCAAGTGAAAAAGTCAGAGAGCTCAGTCTGTGGGCTCTTGGGTTGGAACTGTGTGGTAGGCATCAGAAGTGGCAATTGAAGCCATAACACAAATGAAACAGGCAGGAGGAATATTGTGAAAAAGGATAGCCCCTTGTCTTCCTGACCTTTGAAAATTTAGGGCAGTATGAAAAGAAGCCTTTTGGGCCCTCAATTAGCCAGCAAGTGAAGAGGTGCTATCGAGGGAATTCTGGGCTTCTGTTAACTGCTTGAGGTGGGGAGTGTTTGAGACAAGTTTAAGCTCTTAGTCAGTTTTTTATAGCAGCAGGAGGCTGCAAAAGACCCCATGGAAGAAACAAGTCAAATGGAAGGACAAACAGGCTGGCTCCATAGAAATGAAAGTAGAGAAAAGAAGCATTTAGGATTAGGGGAGGAGGTAACTGCAGATCTGAGAGACTAGGGCATCTGCAAACAGGTATTTTAAGAATTGGACCCTGGTAGCTTTTAAAGTCCCCAAACTGTGACTGGTGTGGTGAACGTAAGCCCAGGATTGTCTCACGGTGCCACAAGGTAGAAAAGACAAGGAAGGATTATGCTCTGGAGCCGTCAGCCAGCGCTTGGCCTCACTGACACCTTGGTGTCAGGCTTTTAATCTTAAATCTAAGATGATAAATTTCCACTGCTATAAGCCACCTAGTTTGGGGCACTTTGTTAAAGTAGCCCAGAAAACACATATAGTTACTAAAAAGAAAATATTGCAATGACTGATATACACTACTGCTCCTAGTCAGAAAGTGATCTTCACAAAATCAATTTCTAAGAATGTGACACATGAGAGCCATGCTAATTAGTGCCTGCTATGGACATAATGCCAGACTACC